ACTTAACCTCCAGCTATAAACCTATCAGTCTCCTCAGTACACTGAGGAAAGTTAACGAGGTAGTTATATTGAATCGACTACGTAAATACGTCTTCGCAAATAAACTGCATACTGACGAGCACTTCGGATCCAGACCCGAATACTCGTACACAAATCAGTTACACCGCCTCACAGAGTTCTGATAAGCTTCAATCTCCCAAAAAGAAGTTAAAGGACCACTAACACTCTTCTTTGATGTCGCAAAAGCGTTTGACAAAGTTTGGCACGACGGCTTACTTTATAAGCCGTTTAAAATCAACGTGCCAGATAGGCTCATTCACATCATCAGAGCCTTCCTTTACAGCCTCCACTTTCAATGTTGAATAGGGGGCACTTGATCCTCGAAATGCCTCCTTAAGGCCGGACTCAGTCCTCTCCCTACTCTTCTTCACACTATTCACGAGTGACATTATTTTTATAGGATCGGGTGACAAACGAGCACACAGTCCACCTGATGGTAAGTGGTTACTGTAACCCATAGACATCTAGATCTATCCTCAATAAAGACTCAAGATGCAGATGCGTTGTCAACCGTGAGGACTAAGATGGAATGCCTCTTTGCCAGTTAAAAGGGTCTCCGGTTCTCTACACTCACCATACGAAACACAGCAGCGTTAAGCTGCTATTTTACGCTGGTTTTCTGTGAGAGCGTGGTTCTTCCCCGTTCGAGCTAACCCATTCGTACTACAACCATAATATAGCTGCAGCTTGGCTCTACCACGTAATAGTAAAAACTAGCTGCCTCCACCTGCTAGTAAACAGCAAGAGCAAACTGTCCTTTAGACACAAGCTCCATCTCTACAAAACATGAATAAGACCTGACAGGTCAAACGCTAGCGTAATTTTCGCCATGAAGCTAATTTAAACAGCCTCCAAGTTGTCGACTTTTCGAATGAAGCTATTTTGGACAACTTGGAGGCTACCGGAGACCACTGGTACTATCGAAACTCCAATTTTCATAGAGTTTGTGATCTAACTTCCGACGATTTTGGAATACTTCAAGGAAATGTCTCAGCGCTACTTCAAGAGCGCCAAAACAATTCCTAACCCGTTGGTGGCAAACGCAGTCTACGTTCCGACTCCAAAAGTCACGGCCTTCCTCCAGAGGCCTCGTAACGTTTTAATTGAAAACCCGATTTCGTTAGACTCTAACGACCTATACGTCGTCATACCATCACACACCAACAATAAATTCGCACCTAGTGTCACAAGCACGATTAGGACAACTGATAGGACGCAGCGAGTCCGCACACGGGCATGCACTGCACCCTCTACACCGCGTACACACCGTACACTCGAGTCCCAGGGCGGTTGTGACCGCCCAGAACATCGAACGATACTACTTAATCAGTGTCAGAGCCAGGATCCGCCACCCCCTCTTCGACGGCCGTTGGACATCTCACCAATGTCATGTTGTGATTTTCGGCGGCATCAAGGAGTCTTTGATATTGATGTGATGATGATGTGATCACTGAACTCAATAACTAATGCACCCTCTCCCCCCCCTCCTTTTTATAGATCGCGGCCTTTCAGGCTAGAAACTAAAAATATTTCCAAGAAATTGGTGAAGTAGTAGGTCGGGGAAAAAGTTTCTTCGTAGTTTGTTTGTATGAAATTGAAGAAAAATCTCTTTGGTGTTCGCTTTTTATCTGGTTGGTCATCCTGATGTGTCAGTAAGTAGCACAATTTTGGTTCAAGTGTTTTCAGTCCGGGAGTTTTGATTTTTTTTATAGAATAAGGGTGATAAACGAGCACATAGTCTACCTGATGGTAAGTGGTTGCTGTGGCCCATAGACGTCTACATCTATCTTCGTTTGCGAATTAAAATACAGATGCGTTCTCTGCCGTGAGGACTAAGATATAATGCCTCTTTTCCAGTAAAATGGGTCTCCGATTCTCTACACTCACCATACGAAACCCAGCAGCATTAAGCTGCTATTTTACGCTGGTATTCTGTGAGACAGTAGTCCTTCCCCTGTCGAGCCGACCTATTCGTGCTACAACTTATACTATTAATATAGCTGCAGCATGGCTCTACCACGTATATTTGGTGTCAAAGATGCACCTCGCTCTGGTCACCCTCGTACGGATAAAGTCGATGCCATTTTCGAAAAAGTGGAGCAAGATATTAGTAGTGTTATGTATGAGTAGTGACGAGATAGCCGAGGAATTGTGGATTGACCATAAAACAGTTTTGACTCCTCTGAAAAAGTCTGATTATACAATAACACCACACGAGCTCACTGAAAGAAACCTAATGAATCGTGTACTCATTTTCAATTCTCTATTTATTTAAAAGTAATGAAAACAAAAATTTTAAAAAAAATTATGACTGGTGGTGGTGGTCGAGCTCCAGAGACCGTAGCGGAACCAGAATTAAGACGCAACAAGTTGATGCTGTGTGTACCATACACACGGAATTGGAAGGGCATGGTTTATTATATATATATATATAGCTCGCCAGGCAGACGTAGTTCTGCCCTTTTCGATGACCCTTCATATAGAAAATCCTTAAATTCATAATAAAAAATATTGAGTGTCACTGATCAGGATAAAAACTACCCTATTTCTCAAGTTGGACCAAACTGCACAGTGTGCAAATTTCATTGAAATCAGTTGAGTAGTTTAGGAGTTCAACGTGGACAAGCAACGTGACACGTAATTTTTATATATATATATAAAGATATATACATACATATATATATATATATATATATATATATATATATATATATATATATATATATATGTATGTATACATATATATATATATATATATATATATATATATATATATATATATATATATGTATATACCTTTATATAGGTATATGAATTAAAATTCAAATACTTTTTTCCAATATCTTAGATTTTCATTACGGTTTGCCAACACGAGGATAGGGTTTTTATTTTTCATTGGCTGTCTTTTGAAAACAGCCAAAAACAAAGGAAATCAGCAAAACTCTTTGAATAAATAATATTCTAGATACCATCGCCATGCGTTACCGACGTGATTATGTTACTTACCAATACCATGTCTTTAATAGTAGCCATAAAACGAATATGTACATTTGCATTCAGAGGAACAACTTTGAAAATTGACTAGACTTTTTCCTGCTTTTAGTACCGTATTAACAATAACACTTAAAACGTTTTATGCTGGTTCTATGTTTTTGCCTTTACCTACAGGAATACTAGAGTATTTGATGAAATCTGTTTTAACTATCGTATAAAGTCTTAATGCTTACGTGCTGTTTGAATGCTTCGTTGATCTAGAGACCCTAAACGCGGTTGTTAATCATGAGGTCCCGGGTTCGAATCCCGGGTCGGGCCAAAATCAGACTATGGGTTTTCTGTCAAAAATTCTCAGTATTAGTCTGAAGTTAGTAAGTTGGCACTGGTTATCTATTGTGGAAGGAGGAGTTCTACAAGCAAGTAGATGGAGTGGCGATGGGTTCACCTGTATCTCCCATAGTCGCCGACATATTCATGAAGGACTTTCAGAAGAAAGCCCTTCTTACTGCTCCTGTAAATTCAAGATTCTACAAGCGGTATGTAGATGACACTTTCACAATTTTACCATCTGACAAAGTAACTGCATTTTTAAACCACCTTAATTCCATAAACTCAAAAATATAATTCATAATGGAGTTAGAGGCATACAATTCTTTAGATTTTCTAGTTGTTTTAGTCATCCGAAATTCTAATAACACCATTGGTCATACTTTGTATAGGAAAAAGACCCATACCAACCGATATTTAAATGGTGAATCGGTTCATCGTCCATCACAGTTAGCTACCGTAGGAAAATCTTTGTTTCAGAGAGCACGAGGGATCTGTGACAAAAAACACCTAGCCGCCGAGCTTCAGCACATCGAGCAAGTATTGCAAGACAACAAGCTTCGGGTCTCGCGCCTACGTCACATTGACCGAGTGAAGCCGACCACAATCGAGCGTGTGCCTGCTGTACTACCCTATGTCAGAGGAGTCACAGACAAGGTTGGCTACATTTTGAAACGAGCTTCTATTAAAACATACTTCAAGCCACCGAAGAATATTAGTCAATTTTTACCATCCGTCAAGTGTAATATCCCTCTACAAGATGCAGGAGTGTACAAGCTTGATTGCGAATATGGTCTCTCTTACATAGGACAAAAAAAAAGATCCATTAAAACCCGCGTGAAAGAACATATAGCTGACGTGAAGCACCGACGCTCTGGGAAGTCTGCAGTCTGTGAACATATTTAACCCTTTACGGCGCTGAATAGCAGATCTGCATTATACCAGTAGAATCCGCAAAGTAGTTCAAAGAAATGAACAATACACCTTATAACGCAGCATTGCTTATCTGCAGCAAAGCATTCTATCGAAATAAGTACCAAAGTCTGTGATAGATGGCGCTATTTGTAATTTTGGAAAGCATTTTAGAACAATGGCAAGACAGTGAGGATGGCTTAGATTTCTCAAACGACGATGATGTAGCAGATCCATCGTACGTATTGGAGGAGAATGAACAAAATTTACGTCAAGCCTCAGATGAGGAGCCCGATGTTCCCTACCCAGAAGATCAAGACGACAACATCTTGATAATGAACTCTGAGACTAATACCAGCTCTTCAGCTCAACCATGTGAAACACCGGCTGCCGTTCTACTACCCAGTACCAGCTCCGAAATAGGAACCACGCCACGAAGCACACGTGTTCCTAAAACAAGTATCATATGGAAAATTAAAAACTTAGAGCTGAATGAAGACCAGATGAGGTTTCGGGGATCTTCCAAGTTACCAAATGAAACCCTAGAATTGAAGACGCCTTATCAGGTATTTTCTTATTTATTTACTGACGACATTGTGAATCTGATTAGAGACGAAACTAACCTGTACAGCGTGCAAAAAGATGCCAGTAAACCTATAAACGTCACAAGCCAGGAAATAAGGCAGTTTGTTGGAATTACTTACTTCATGTCCATAGTTCATCTACCTAATGTGCGAATGTATTGGTCAGAGAAATATGGCTATGATCACATACGTGAGACGATGCCGCTTAAACGGTTCGAGTTTATGAGGCAAGTACTGCACTTCAATGATAATTCTAAAATGCTACCATATGGTCAGCCAAACTCTGATAGACTATATAAAATCAGACCCATAATAGAAAAACTGAACCGTAACTTTGGAAAAGTGCCACTAGAACAACATTTGTCTGTTGATGAACAAATGTGTTCAACCAAAGCACGGAGTGCTCTAAAGCAATATTTGCCAGACAAACCCCACAAATGGGGCTTCAAACTGTTCGTTATTTGTGGTGTAAGTGGATACGGCTACAAGTTTGAAGTTTACAGTGGCCAGGAGAATATATGCGCAGATGGCGAGCCTCAATTAGGTGCCGCATCCAATGTAGTGGTCCGACTTGCCAGAGAGATTCCTGTCAACCAAAACTATAGACTGTTTTTTGACAACTACTATACATCCCTACCTTTGATAGAGTTCTTATCACACCGTGGTATATTAGCTTTGGGCACCGTTAGGAGAAACCGCATCCCTAACTGTAAACTCCCAGATGAAAAACAGCTGAAAAAAAGACCGAGAGGCACGTCAGTCGAACAGGTTGCAAGCTATAACGGTATCGACATATCAGTGGTGGCCTGGAGAGATAATAAAATTGTGAACCTAGTATCCAACTTTGCTGGCAAAAATCCCACATCTGTCGTAAGTAGATTCGACAAGTCGCAAAAGATACACATCAATGTGGAACGGCCTTTTATTGTGGCGGAGTATAATCGTCATATGGGAGGTGTAGACCTTATGGACTGTGTAATGGGTCACTATAAAATAAAACTTCGTAGCAAACGTTGGTATATAAGACTCTTTTACCATTTTCTGGACATGACTATGACTAATTCTTGGTTATTATATAGAAGGATTCATGCTGACACTGAAAATACTGAGAAGCTGCTAAGTTCTGCAGATTTTCGACTTGAAATTGCTGGAACATTAGGAAAATATAAAAAGACAAACCGCCTGAAGCGCACCAGTTACGTGGAAGCACTCATCCAAGACAAAAAGAAAAAAGGGCCTTGTCAGCATATCCCACCGAAAGACGTTCGGCTAGACCAGTCAGGGCATTGGCCAGTTTGGACGGAAAAAAGGCTTCGGTGCAAATTTCCAGGCTGTACTGGAACAGCCCAAACCGAATGTGAAAAATGCGGCGTAGCCTTATGTTTCAACAGAAATAACAACTGTTTCCGTTCCTTTCACAATTCGTAAGTTGTGAAAGGACGACACCCGTTCACAACTAACGTTTTCATCTGTTTTCACACCATAATGCACATCTGCATCACGTTATTTTTTCCAAAAATAAATACTTGTTTTACATATGATTATTTTTTTATTATTTTTCCCATTATTCTACAGCTTGTCTTAACCTGTTTTCAATAAATAAAATCAAAAACTTGTTTTTGCGCCGTAAAGGGTTAAGATCGTCCCCGCCATTACATCAGATTTGATAGACCACAAATCCTCGCATAAGAACACCGATTCCTTTCAAGGATAATTCGCGAGGCTATTGAAATTAAATAACATTCTAATTTCAATAAAGAAGATAGATGGTGGCTGCCATCTGCTTGTGATCCTATAATTAACAAAACTAAATCCAAACCCAAGCATACCACTGCAAGATTTTAAGATACTGTGAGTTCATTCTGCGTAAATCGAACCAAAAATTAATATTAAAAAATTGAATGTAGGTGGGCTAACTGTGATATCAGGACGTTAAATTGTTATTTAGTTAACAATAATTTTCTAGTAGTTTTTACATTTTTTATTTTAGTTATCACCTATCTGATACTCATGGGTTCAAACTACGAAGCAAATACCAAGAGGAATTGGCATAAGCAACTGTGCACTGTGATTCTAACTAGGTCCTGATGTCATCACAGTGGGCGTGGCTTTAATATCTCAATCCCACCGTGACCATGGGTTACTGTAAAGTACCTAAAACATCAGGAATTAAAATAGTAAATTAAACGCCATAAAATTCTTAAAAATAGTTTTATTCAATGTGTAGTGTTAGCGTAAATATAAGAAACCATTTCGAAAAGAAGTTGCAACATGCCTATATGTTCTCAAAATTTCCAATTAAATTGAGAAATACCAGAATAGATACCCCGTTCTTAATTAAAAAAAAATCTCTTCCTGACTTGTCTGAAGTTGTCTGGGTTCATAATTCACGTTTCGTCAAAGAGATAGTTTTGACGAATTTTTCATAAAAAATCCAAAATAACTGTCAATTGGTGATGTCCAAATTTAATATGTATTACGTTTTAATAAATTAATCAGTAATATACACAATTATATTGACGTAATCCTAAATAGTAGTAAATACTTGAATACCTGGTCGCTGTCAACTCCGAATACTCGGGGCTTGTTTCACATTTGATAACAGGTACACTAAAATCACCAGCAATGACAGATTTGTTATCCCAATAACAAATTTGAGATAACATAAAGTCCTTAAGATTGTTATAAAAGTAACGTAATGTAAGTCAAATGAGTTACCTATATTTTCTTAACATAAATAAATAATACATACGTGTATATGAAATTGGTTAATACTTATGCTCAGCCAAATGTATTCCATAGACGATTGCCAATCGGTTATCTCTACAGAGAGAAAATCATGTTTAATCGTTTGTAAGACTCCAACGCCTAATTTTTGTACTGTCTGTCAAATAAACGTAATCCCGCCTCTAAATATACCTATTAGCGAACAGCTCAGGACTAGACATTCTATCAAGCAGCCAGGTTTCGGTCTACCTGGCTATAATATTGAAACTACTAAATTGTTTATCTCTACAAAAATAAGAAAAGATGACTTTGATCGGAAGATCGAAGTCATCTTTTCATTCTGATAGTACACACTTAAAAATATTATTGACAATAACAAAATCAATGTTTAATGAATTATCTGACTATAATAAAATGTTTAATTCTTAAGACGGTACGTTGATATTCAAGTCATATGCATGCTTGCGGTAAAATATGTTGCTTTTGATAACAACACTCGTAGCTGATTTCTGCTCTGTGTAAGAGATGGTACCTTTATAACATAGAAAATAATAGAAAGAAGTTATTATAATCCAGTTTATAGGTCGCAGCATACCCCTTTCTGTACATTAGTGCGCTTATTCGGACATGATAATATGTATTTATAAAAGGAAATTTGAAGTTGTGGCGGTAATATAACTTTCAAATGATTTGTGTTTCCCAAATTAGTGTATAGCAAAAGTTCCAATAGGAAAAGTGTTATCTGTTTGTATAGAACTAACATGTAGCAAACTTTGATATGATATATCATCTTTACTGTATAACTTATAATACGTGGTAGAGCCATGCTGCAGCTATATATAACAACTACATCTATCCTCGTTTGCGAATCAAAATGCAGATGCGTTGTCACCCGTGAGGACTTAGATGTAATGCCTCTTTTCCAGCAAAAAGGGTCTCCGCTTCTCTACACTCATCATATGAAACAGAAGCATCAAGCTGCATTTTACGCCAGCATGCTGTTAGTGCGTGGTCCTACCCCGGTCGAGCCGACTCATTCACACCTCAAACATAATATAGCTGCAGCTCTACCGCGTAAGATGCTGCATTTACTGTTTCATATCCCTCTGTCACATCATACCCATGGTATAATATGGAGTGGTAGATTCTCTTACGCTGCTACTACATGGACATTATAATGTATTTCAAATTATGCTACATTTTATTTGATAGACAGAGTTTCCGTTATTTGATAGTTCGAGCAACACAAAATTTTTCTAGAGGAAAGGTAACAAGTAAAAACAGTCCACTTGATTATAAGGCTATTGTGGCGTATTTACACAAAATATAAATTTGATTATATGTCTATTAATTAAAGATTAAGGAGAAGCGTTGTCATCTCATGAGTGTCGTAAATCTGTGCTAATGTATGTCTGATTGTATTTACGACCTGCTATCGAGGCGATGAAATCATCTCTTATCACTTATTAAAATACCCAGACAATCATGTCCAATGGGTTTTAAAAAATAACCATAATTTTGAACTACAGATTATGACAGTCTCAAAGACTGTAACAAAAACAGAATCTAGCTACTTGTTTGCTATAGTATGATTTCGTGTATTGGCACACGACTATTTTTGTATTTAATAAAAATGAAATGCTTAAGTTATGTTAAACGATTTCTTGTTTTTTTTTTTATAGAATAGCAATAACAAGACACAGATATGAAAAAAGATCGTTAATTTCGGTCACTACGATCAGTTTTAATGGTGGCCAGCCATCGGCGCAGGATAGGATTACTCTGCACAAGTGTATGCTCAAGCACAGGTACACTCTCTATTCCCTTAATTTAATCGTCCGATAGGACGGCAATTCGTCACGACCGGAGAAAGATTAAGCCCAGGACCAACGGCTTTACATTTGTTATCTTTAGTCTTAGTTTTAGTCAAATACTACGTAGAGATATAAAACACCTATAGTTATTTTCATGGTTCGTTTGTAGACCGGTCCGTTAATTCGTTTATGGGCAGTTCGGTGGTTCGTTTTTGCGCCTGTCTACTTGTTTGTTTGTTATTTTGTCTGATTGACTACCTAAATGTTTTTATCCAAATAACTAGGTACTCAAGACAGTTCCAAGAACAAATAAATCGTCATCACTTATCATAACAAAAGTACTAATTCCACGCGGAGAGACGAGGACACAGCTGTTTTTATTATATTAGCTGACCCAGCAGTCTTCACTCCAATTATCTTGTATTAATTGAAGTGTATTACGAGTAATTGAAGTGAAGATGTTCACTATGGACTTTTTATATTTTTATAATTATACATATTTCTTCTGTACGTGTGTTTGTCACTGAACTCCTAAACGGCTGGACCGATTTTGATGAATTTTTTTGTGTGTTTGAGTGGGTCTCGAATGGTTTAGATTTATTGGACCCGGTAGGTGGAGCTGTTTTCGGGACCCAAAATCACTTGTTCGATTTCGATTCGACGCGAATCGGTAGAGTAAATATAAAAAAAAAATATAAATCCAAGTTTAGATATTTTGTTTTTTGGCGTTAAATCAACTTGTTTTGTAAATGTGTAATTTTAGTCCATAAAGTACCGCCTATAATATCCTAACCACTACCTATACTCGTATGAACTACCGTCTTTACATACCAAATATAATTTGTCGTCATCGATAAATTTTGTGAAAGCAATCCTGTTAGTGATCTTTCACACACAATCACATTGAAAATATAAAATATATAAAATAACACACATGTTAAGTTAGTTGGAGGAGGCCACAAAATTTTACTGATATTTCCTCAAGTCAGCTTATTGGATTCTTTTGGACTTTAAAATATAAAAAAAAATTATTGACACGACTGCATGGAATGGAAACAAAGAACTTTATGTTACTACAACGGTCTGTAATTGATTTCGGGACTCCTAAACCCTGTAACAGCTGCTCCGTCCCAATTGATCCCAGTAAATTGGTTCGTAAATGTTACAAGACTTACCACCTTTCCGCTAAAACTTTTAAGGCTTTAAGTAACATATATTTATAATACATTTATGTATAATTATTAATATCGTAGTTAACTTTATGTATTGTAAATTTGATAATTCGATATGGTAAAAATTCTACATGCTATCACGTCAGCCTTTAAGTTTACATATTCGAGTAAACATTAAGATCTAGAGGTAACGTATATTACAGTCAACGCTCCGTTGCCATCAAGCTCTAATAAAAGACCCTAAAAAACCTTCGGTCCACATTAATTAATTATTTTCAAAAATTTAATACGTTTTCAGTGCCTAGAAGTTTGTAATACGACAGATAATAATATGAATGACAACCTCGTAATACTGTCCATGTGGTCGGAGCTTAGTTAGCAGAACTTAGCTTAACAAAGCTTCTCAAGAATCCAAAATCTGCCCAATCACAATCTTAATCTTATGTCTGTTAGACGGGAAATAAAGGTTCAGATGTCAGCAGATATGACAACACTCAGACAAATCTCGGAATGCATGTAGCGAGACTTACACAATTTCAATCCAACTCTTATTACCAAGGCTTCAAAATTTTATTAGAGCTCTATCTGCCAGAAAGAGCCAACTAAGTTGTATACCGACTGTAGTACTATCATTTTTGAAATACCTGAGATTTTGAGAGAGATTGAGAGGTTCTACGGACAACTGTTCACGTCGTCGTTGGAGACTCACAAGTGT